CATATCTACACTACTGAAAGCGCGCGTGTGCTTTACATTCGCATTTTCAATTTAGTCGCAAGACGCGACAAATTCAAGAGAAAAAGATAAAGGTTAAAAACTCGTGCGAATTTTCGTTTGCCTAATAAAAAAATAATAATTGCGCGAAGGATTATTCGTGAAAGAGACGCGCTTTTACGTTTATATTTGGATCACGCGGATAACTATGCGATGCTAATAAATGTCGCTCAATTATAATACATACATACATACATGTATATGTAAGAATAATATCGTCGCTGAATTTGCACGCAATCGGTCCCTATCTCCGTTCCTTAATGACCTCAATTCCTCCGTTTTGAGACTCTCCGCATGCGTGCGAGAGAGAAAATGAGAGTGAGTGAGTGAGTGAGTGAATGAAAGAGAGAGAGAGAGAGAGAACACGCGACCACGGAAATCGGATAAGCAACGATCACACAAGCTTGATAGCCATCGATAGCGCGTGAAAGAATTTTTACAAATTCGCACTTGGTACTCTCTAATCGAAACATTACTCGTTGCGCCAAGGATGGCACGGACGATGGACATGGCGATGGCGGTGCGATGTTGTGGAAAGCCTGATCATCGGTAGCAGCAGTTCCGAGTGCCCGACAGCCCGAGTGGTTGGTAACAGAGACGCCGCTGGTCGCGCCAATACGCTCCTGCGCAGTACATTCCCCCTCCCCCCACTATCATCTCCCGTCCCGCTACGCGACCAGTCGGAGTCGGTTCCTTGTTTGCCATCACAAAATCCAATAGTTTGCCTTGTACCGCTGAAGGAGAGAGGTTGTACGGTTCGACGGTTTCACATACGCGTCTTGCGAAAAAGTGCAGTGAATCTTACGAGTCCAATGTAACGCATGTCTCTTGCTTTGCTAACGCAAAAGATGTACATTATCCCGCGTTTATTTACCCATACTACAAGATTTCGCCGTTGCTAGAGTGACTTGGCGCGCGCGCATATTCGTGGAAGCGAGAACACTGTAAATTCCTACGAGCAACCGGACCGACCGGCCTGTTAAGACTTTGTCGATTTTTTGGTCGTGAAAAAACAACGAACCAAGAGAGCTGAAGAGAAAGAGTGAGGAAGAGTGAGAGAAAGAGAGAGAGAGGAGAAGAAGAAGATAGGTGTGGAAACACAGAAATTGCGTGAGAGAGGAGGAGTCTAGTACTTAAGGAGAAACAGAGTGAGAAAATAAGAAAGGAAAAGAGAGAGAGAGAGAGAGAGAGAGAGCGGGCGCGCGCGCGCGCGCATGGTGCTGTGTGCGTGGATGCGTACATGTGTGTGAACGGAGCGAACGCGCGAACGCGAACGGAAGAGGAACAGAGAGAGGTGGCGACGGTGAGAAAAGGAGGGAAAGGAAAAGAGAGAGAAAGAGAAAAAGGAGAACTCTGTAAGTGTAAGGGTCGATTATACGACGCCGTCGAGAGAGACTCGATCGCGAGGGAAATAGCTGGTGATACATACCGAGGGTGTACGGTGCCTG